TATGTAGAAGCGAAGCAACTAAGCTCGCTCCGACTTCTTTATTTTCTTTTAATCTAAAAAGCGAACTATTCAGTCAGACAGCAATTTATTGTAAAAGTAAAGCATTTACAATTTCAAGCACTTTATCTCAAATCCAAGCACCATTCCCAAAATTCAAGCACTTTTCAAGTCATGAAAACACCTCGTAAAAATTCAAGCATTTTCAAGGATTTCAAGCACCCGTACGAACCCTGGGTGATACGCAAATTCCTTTTTGCATAATTTGCAAACAACCGTGCTCTTATCGATGCTTCCATCCGTCCGTTTTTTAAAACAAAATGTCCCATCCACGGGGCCAACCAAAGCGGTCTCATCAGCTTGTTCGTTCATGTTTGACTATTGTTCACTGTGGTTTGTTGTTGTTTGAAGTCATGAGCGTTAGTTGGTGCTCCAGTATAATCGGTACCCCTGAAACTCATCCAGTGAGAAACGTTCCGCGGTGCAAAAATAAGTGCGATTAAAATGCGTTAATTTTTTTAACGCGTTAATTTTTGTGTAATTAATTAATCTTAATTAACGCGTTAAAGTCCCGGCCCTAGTTTGAATGAATTAATACTTCCTGCCTTCCTTCTGTCTATTTCCTCATGAATAAACAAAACTGGATGAAAACGTAACGGGGCTGAGCGTAAGCAATAAACCATTTATCAACATTAGTTTTTAATAAAAAATTATTAACACTTACAGGAAACTGAGGTGATTCCAGACAGGAAGCTGCTTCAGCACATTAGCAGGGTGGACAGCAGCGGCAGCCGGAAGACCGATCCTTACCTAGAATTCTTTCTGGGTCTCGCCATTTGCAACACCGTGGTGGTTTCCATGGCAACAGCTGAAAGACAGAGGGTGAGCGCTTGCTACTGTGGATGAGTGGTAGAGATGGAGGCACAGTCAGAGGGAGGAAAGATGGATGCAGGATTTGTTCTCCTTGAACTCCAAACCTACAAAAAAATTGCAATTCGTTCTTCTAGAAAACCTTGTGGGGAATCTAGTAATTATTTTATTCATTAGATCTACAAAACTAAAGGCCAGTGTTATCACCATAATTTATCTAGTAACACACACAACGATTAAGTTTAAATTCTACCTATTAACCTTAAAGATTTAGTTTAATTTTAAAAGTTCTCTTCCTTTGTTTTGTTTCAAGTTTCTGTTCTTTTATCAGTGGTCTGTACAACATTTCTTTCATCTTTAAAGCCCCAGTAGTAAAGAGTCCTCACTAAATTAGCCACATAGTAAAGGGAGATTTTCAGGGGCACTCAGGGTTGCCCTTATTAATTTGAGTACTCGCTTCCCTTGTCTGTGCTGTTCTCCGGTCTGGCAGATGGGAGAAATATGTGGGTTTTTCCCTTGAGTTTGTAATTAAAGGTAAAAGCACAAGAAAGAAACAGAGTGGAAAGTGATGGGGAGATTTTAAGAGTGTTTCACCATATGTGTGTTTTGGCACATTGGTTTTCTTTGCTTCACTTTTTCAGGCAAGTGGGTTTTCACGATCTGGTCAAACAAACAACCGTCTGGATACTTTGTCCAACGTGGCGAAAAAACCCTTCTCTCTTCGCCATATTTTCACCTCCTGGAAAAACAAGCCCAAGAGAAGCCGCACCATCTCGGAGGACTCGGTTGTAGAAGAAGACCATTTTAACGCCCCTTTAAAAATAGACGGTTCTGGAAATACTGATGGGCTTCAAACGTGTTCTCTCCAAGCTCCATCCCATAGCAATGATCCTGCAACGACCCCAGATAATGTGACTTATGAGGCAGAAAGTCCAGATGAGGCAGCCCTGGTGTACGCAGCCAAGGCATATGGCTTCACCCTGCTGGCCCGCACTCCTCACAGCGTGACGGTGAGGCTCCCGTCTGGCGAGGACCTGGTGTTTGAGGTGCTGGACACCTTGACCTTTGACTTCAACAGGAAGAGAATGTCTGTTTTGGTGCGACACCCAATCACCAAAGAGTGTGTGTTGTACACTAAAGGTGCAGACTACGCTATCATGGAGCTACTCGGTACATCGTGCGCAGGTGTGTGCTGGTGAAAGTGCATTTAAACACATTTATGAAATGATTTACCTTTACTATAGTCAATAGTGAGATATACCCTGGGTCAATTATAAATTCAAGTTAAACTTAATGAATACATTGTTGTATCATTTTCAGAACATCTCAGAGGTAAGCAGAAGAATATAGCAACAGATACTCAGCATCACCTTGACTTCTATGGTAAAGAGGGGCTACGCACGCTTTGCTTCACGAAGAAGGTGCACAATCACATATATACTCAAATTCACAAGCATAATTTACAATACTAGAGAAGCTCTGTTTCATGTTTTTTCTATGTGTGCTGCAGGTTGTGAGTAAAAAGGTTTATGAAAGCTGGTTAGTGTGCAGGAGAAACGCTCTGGCTGCTATAGACAACAGAGAGGAGCTGGTTATGGAAACTGCTGTGCAGCTAGAGACAGAACTCAACCTGCTAGGTAACAGACATCCGCCAATACACATTACACATAATAAACACTTGACAAACATACCGTGTATCTGTGTGATAAGCCATGTTATACCTGAATGTGGATATATGTCCTCCTGCAGGGGCAACGGGCATCGAGGACCGTCTGCAGGAGAGTGTCCCGGACACCGTGGTGGCGCTGCGGGAGGCGGGGATCCGGGTGTGGGTGCTGACTGGTGACAAGCCGGAGACAGCAGTTAACATCGGATACGCCTGTAGGCTCCTGGAAGAGGAAGACCTGGTGATTAACATGAGCTGCAAAAACAAGGTGAGGAGGTCGGCCGAACTGAAGGCTGCTCAACTCAGAGATGCTTTTGTTTTACTGCTTATGTGAAATGATAAATGATGGCACAGGTTTGATTCATTTCTTACACCACAATTAGAACTTGTGTCAGTAGATTTAATATTATATACAAATGTTGCTTAAAGTGACATTTTGGAGAATAATCTTAAAAGCCAGATAGTTTAGTTTAGTATTAGGATTGAACAACAGGGGGGAACAGATTTTGTTCAGGGGTTGTGCTAACCATTAAATCTTCAGGAGATAAACTCTTACTCCACACTTAAAAACATTTTTGTAAAAAAGTTGATATCGATTTGGTCAGATTTTGTTAATAAAGTAAAATATCATCTTATAAAGAGATATTAAATGAAAGGTGTTAGGTAGTGTGATACATTCATGATCCTGTGTTTGCTGAATATGCTGCATGGGGCACAATACATATATGAATTTAGACAGGGGTGTCAAACTCAATTTCATGGCGGGCCACATTCGCATCATGGTTGCACTCAGAGGGCCGGTTGTAACTTTAAGACTATATATAGAGACATCAATGTTATACTTCAATAATGGATACACTATATTAGTTACTCTCGTTATGACATTATATGATGTATAAATA